TTGTGTATGCTGTTCAGTGTCAGGAGGGCTGTGATCAGTCTTACATCGGGGAAACTAAACAGCCACTGGCCAAAAGGATGGCCCAGCACAGAAGATCAACATCATCAGGCCAGGATTCTGCGGTCTACACTCATCTCCAGGCCAGCGGTCACTCTTTCAAGGATGAAGATGTTCACATCCTGGACAGAGAGGAACGATGGTTTGAGAGAGGAGTAAAGGAGGCCATCTTTGTGAAAAGAAATCGTCCATCATTAAACAGGGGTGGAGGCCTCCGGGTTCAACTGTCCCCCTCTTACAATGCTGTGATTGCTAGTATCACTCAGCCCTCTGTGAATAGTAAGCAGCCATCAGTGTGCTAATGATCCATTGTTAGGCTGATGGTCCTTCTTGAGCATGTGATCAGCTGGTTTTTGTTGTCAGCAGCAAACTGGTTGATCCACTCTGAGAAGGTGCTATTTAAGAGACTGAGCTGAAAACAGCACCTCAGACTGAGGAAGTCTCTTGGATGAGAGACGAAACGTTTCTATATTTTTTTGCTTTGTTTTGTTTTTTGTTTTTTTGAATGTCCAGAGGACCAGATTGAACTTTTTTGGATTTTTCTACCTGGATTATTGAGCATGCATCAGGATAAAGTTAAAACTAAATACTAAAGTTTTAAGATTGTAGCCAAAGCCCCACCTTAAAGGGATCTCTGACTACCTGCACATATTGGGCTTATATTTTCATTTCTCTATTCTGCTGAAAGTTGTTTGTGACATGCAGGGCTTAATTCGAGCCGGATCCTGTTGGAACAGGATTCGAGAACTCTCTGGGAACGCTCTTCTTTTGACAGGGTGTGTTCCAGTAACTGTTAGATCCGATGAGTCTCAGTCTTACTAATAATAAAGTTATGACCAAATATGACTGCCATGAACTAATAAAAAATACTGGATATGTAAACTGAAAATAATTACATAAACACTAATTTTAAACACAACAGCCACATACGAGTATACGAGCTGCCCCTTCCAGTAGCATTTTCATGCCTACCCTTAAAAACATCTTCGCTCCTAAAAGAGTGGTGGGGGTGAGTATCGAGCTAACCAGGCAGTCGTACGCGGGCAGGAGCCCACAGGCAGAAGCCCACAGCCAGGAGCCATGAACAGACGGAGGAGATACCTGGAGGTTTCACGTGGAGTCAGACAATAATGAGCAGGGACAGTGTCGGGCTTGGAATCGTCAAGGGGTGGTGGGGAAGGATGCTTGACAGAAGTGGAGCATTTACTTATGTAGGTAAACATAAATGTTTAACAACCCGTTAAAATACACCAAACTGAAGGAAATCGCATCTACTTTATTAAAAATTTTCTGGGGAATCACCCCCAGGACACCCCCCACCCCTGCTGGCCTGCCTACTATTTGTGTTCCAGCATTAGTTTTCTACATTCGCCTCATAATCTAGCTGTTTTTGCTACTTTTTGCCATCTTATATTCATTTGTAAACAAACAAAAACAAGTCTGTACACTTCTTTTATAATTGTCTATTGTTGTCCATTGTTGTCATCATTCGTTGTTGAAATCAGGTCTCTCTTGTAAATGATTCCTCGAGGCTCAATGGGATTAACCTGTCTAAATAAAGGTTGAATGAAAAATTGATCCGTTTACAAATTATGCTCTGGTGACACATGAAAAGTCCTAATAACTAGTTGTTTTTGTATATTTATTACATTTTTCACCTAAGGACATCTCCATTATTTTACCAGGGCAATGCATTCTGGGTGGATGATGTATACTGGTTGTAGTGGAGGCTAAAACAAGGAGTCAAGGCCAAAAAGTTATTACATGAGACAATAAAATTATGTTTAGTCCTTATGCACATTATATGGGGCAAAACAATCAAATGTGATCAACTCGTGATGTTTAATTTATTAGCTTTAGCTAACATCTTATATCTAAAATCTCTTGAGCTAACGTTATACATATTAGCTCTAGGGTTAATGCTTTGCTAATCCTATTAGCTCCAGATCTAGCATGAAAGCTGAGTCATTTCTGCATTTTCTTCTCTGTCAACTCACTCCAGTTCAAATTAAAGAGCTATACGTCAAACAATGTCAAAAAACATCCAAGCTTTCACCAGAGCAACCTGGCTATATAATTTTACCCAGAATGCATTGCAGCATAAATAAAATCACAACATTTGTGTGCCAATAATTAAATAATAAATTATAAAATCTAAGCAGCCTTTAATATCTTTCAGTCTCGTTGTTATAGCTGACATAATTGTTTACCAAATAAAGTCTATTGCTCCAACTAGAGATCTTTTTTTAATCTGTGGTTCGTCAGTCATGCTTATGCAAACTTCTATTAGCTACAGATTCAGAACATTATTATTATTATGCCTTTTTACAACTGACCACAATATCCTGTTTTTTTATTTAGGTAGTGTGTTTGGCATTAAAAGTGGTGTACTAGAGTGGTTCAAATCCTACTTATATGATTGTGGGTTTTTTGGAACCCTCAGTGAATCTATTTAGTTATATGCCTCTCTTGTGGAGTTCCTCAGGGTATATACTTGGGTCAATATTGTGCTCTCACATTATTCCCACCAGGCTTTATCTTGGGAACAAATGTGTGCGTGTGTGTGTGTTTGTGGATATATATATATATATATATATAGTTATGCAGATGACACTCTAATTTACAAACTAAAGCCCTACCATTTATCAATAGTTGCCACCAAAAAGTGAAATATAGGCAATTATATTTTAGCTTGTATTTGTGTGTACAAACAATTATTACTTTCTGACAGTTCATGAAAATGAAAATATAAGTACAGTAACAAAGTCCATGCTCAATAATCCAGGTATACAATCCAACATTTTTCAGTCAGGTCATCTGGACAGTTTCTTTTTTTGTGCTGAAACATTTCACCTTCAATCCGGAAGGCTTCATCAGTCAAGGAAATACCCAACACAAAACTGATTCTTCCCCCAACAGCCTACTCCAAAGTGGAACAAACCAGTTATGTTGGTGCTAAGATGGTCTCTTTTGTACGCCACCTCCTCCATTGCCAGCCCGCTTCCTTGTTGACAGTCATGTCAAACTGTTTGAAAACAACAAAGTCCATGCTCAATAATCCAGGTATACAATCCAAAAATTTTCAGTCAGATCATCTGGACAGTTTCTTTTTTTGTGCGGAAATGTTTCGCCTTCGAATTGGAATACTTCATCAGTCAAGGAAACACACAAAAAAACTAATTCTTCCCCCAACAGCTTACTAGTTGACACGACTGTCATCAAGGAAGAGGGCCGGCAATGGAGGAGGTACCGTGACAAAGAGACCATCTTAGCACCAACATAACTGGTTTGTTCCACTTTGGAGTAAGCTGTTGTGGGGAAGAATCAGTTTTGTGTTGTGTGTTTCCTTGACTGATGAAGCCTTCCGGATCAAAGGTGAAATGTTTCAGCACAAAAAAAGAAATTGTCAATATGACCTGACT